GAAACCATTGACAGAACGAGTAAGTTGGGCAACGTGCTTCTTAAATATCTCACATTCCCCCCATCCAGAATGGCCCAACTTTTTCCATGGATAATAGTTGATCAAGAAGAACTCAAAAGAGCTACGAAGCTTATCGGTGTAATCCCTAGCAGCATCAAGTTCTACATTTCCTTCATTCTCGAAGTGCACAACTGCCGTTTGCCACTGCACGAAAAAGTTATCAAATTTGTCATGGAAGACATCATTCTCTTTCTTCTCTTCATCACTAGCTTCCTCAATGGCCTTCAGGGTAAATTCGCTTGGAAGAGAAGCAGGTTTCACATCTTGAGCAATAGAAGTTGGAGATTCAGCCTTCTTCCATGCATTCTCTTTTCTTACAGTTTTCGGAATACCTGAGGAACAACGATATGGTTTGCAGTTGCGCTCTTGCTTGGCAGATGATGAACCGAATGCCTTTTTGCCATAGCTGGTAGATACTTGCCTTGCAGTCTTGAACTTCTTTGATGATGGTGCGGCATGTGGTTCAATGATGGTAACTGATCCGGAGTCTTCACTATCAGAGTTCAGACAGATTACATTTTCCTCACCATTACATGAATTGAATACGTCTCCTGCGCTATCCGAGGTGAATTTTGTTGCTTTGCGTTTACTCATGATGTCGAAAATTATGGCATGAACTTGGTTCACAATGCCTTCATATCCATTGTCCACGGTGAAAACACGCTCTCGATGATACTCCGAAAATATTATGTTACTCATTTTACTACAAATTTTCGAAAAACGATTTTGGTTTTAGGTAGAAGTAAATACAAAGTAAAAGTACCAAGTATAGTATTTTTTACTTATAATCTCTTAATTCTATACTATTATACTTTAGAAACTTTACTGAACAATGTCAATATTCACATGTCAAATTCCTTTTCTTTTGGATCATTTTGTGATTGATGATTACAGTCATATGAGTAAGATCCCCTTCCATTAAAGGATCCATTTCCAGACGCATATCCTTGTGGCCAACATGGAAATTGATATCCTTGTGCAGTAAAAGGCTGATTTCCGTGCATAGAAAGTTGACCATTCAGCTGAAAAATAGGAGCACCTTGTGACAATCCATTCGGCTGAGAAAGAGGAACACCTTGTGACAATCCGGGCATTGGAAACTGCATATCATGCATAGTAGTTGCCAATGCTTGCATGTTTCCAGCACTAAGAGCTTGGTTATCTTGAGATGGAAAGGGCATCGCCCCGTTGTTTGTTGTTGTCGCTACAATCTGGGAGCTTTCATTACTGTTTCTTTCATCGACTCTCGCATTCGGAGCTTGGTTACCTCGTGATAGGGTTGGTACCATCACGTTCTTTTCAATTGCAGGTACCATCCGGGATCTGTCATGATCATTTACTTGATCAAATTCTCTCCTATCAATGATGAATCTGTTTTTTTCTGCCCGTAACAAGACAAATCTTTGAAATTCGATATAGGGAGCCAAGCGCTTCCTGCAATCGTCATTAATGTTACCTTGGAAGTCAATGGCTGTGACAAGTACATCCACATTATTTGGGTCATTCGCATGCTCAGTGCATAGACGTTTTCTCCAATGCACAGAATGAAGAATGAAATGTCTTGTGTGCTTCTGACTATTTCCATCAAACGTACCCTTCAGTGTATACTCGTTATCAGTAGGCATACATATCTTGCAACGGAGTAATGAGTCTAGAAGATTCTGATTTGGCTGATTCTTTTCATAATTCGAATATCTTGCAATAACAATACCACCATGTTTCAACAGAGTTGGACAGTTCTTTGTTGTCTTAGATGTACAAGTAGGATTGTTGCAGAAACTGCAATCTTTTTTTGATTTTTTTACTTGTTGAGCATCTTTTGGTTCTTCACGAGTGTTCAAAGATCTTCTTCTACCCTTTCCTAGTCCAGTAGAACCGTTTGTATATTCAGTTCCAAAACGAATCCTTCTCTTTGTTTGTGCGTAAGAGTTACTCTTTTTTGATGGGTCTATGGTTTTTGAGGATTGCAAATGATCTTGTTCTGTACGCAAGTATGAGTCCCAAAGAGAATTAAGATCTGTATTCATATTCATAGTATCACTTTTGGCAAGTTGTGTCATGGCAAAGATTGCAGCACACGCTCTTTTCTGGAATTCACGCGGTCTGTTGGTTAAAGCGGTAACCAGATTCTTACATAGATCCATCATCTCTTGAAAACTGAAAGTAGTAAGTAGAACAGATGATTCTTCTTCATACTCCAGGTTATCAGAGTCCCTTCTCTCCTCAGTGGATAATCCGGCTGTCTTGTTCAATGGTGCATTGCTCGGTTTGAAATCACCATTGCTAAGTGATTTTTTGTCTACGCCATTTCTGGGAATACTACGTTCCCATGGACGGTTGTGATAAATGTAACGTCTAGCAAAGCATTGTAAATCAAAGACACCCGAACGCTTAATCTCATGACAACATTGAATCTTATCTGCCATCCGATACTCGCATTTACAGGGTTTATTCTTCTCCAAAATGATTCCATCATCGAATACCAAGTTTCCATCTTCGTCTTCTTTGTAGTTCAGATGATTTGATAAATTGTATTGATCTTCAAGAAGTTTATATCCATGATAATTGAGAGTACGTCCATCAATGCATTCTGAAGCATTCATCAAGATGGGAATTTTCGTTTGATTGTTTGAAAAACGCAGCTCTCTCTCACTACTTTCATAATTCTGTTTTGCTCGATAGTTCCAATGAAGTTGCCTATTAGATAAAGTTGAGAACATCATTGGAATCTCTAGCAGTGCATTCGAATCCAAACACCTAACAACACTAGCATGGTTCGATTCGGAACCAGAATTTCCTTTCCTTCGTAGAGTTCCTTTATAAGAGCGAAGCTTATACCATGCAAAGTGATCTTTTTTCAAATTAAGATCTTTAATAGCATCGAAATGAGGAGCAGTACAGCCAAGATTTTCCATTTGCTTCTTCAAGTTCCCAAACTGATCTTCAAAGCCTTGTTCCGTAGTAGCATTTATCCATTTATAAATCTGAGATTCAAGCAGCTCAAAAAACAACGTACCGGCGAATTTCTTTCTTAGATTCACTTGGATGAGATGAAATTGGTCGAAAATAAACTTTGCATTCGGAAATCCAAGTACATCCCGAATTTTGTCTTGATCAAGAAATTCGTCACCAGCAATAATGTCTACATCTTCCTTTTTGATTTCGAAAGCCATATTAAAGGTTGCATCACATAAGAACTTGTATGTTGGAAGAGATTCATTCAACAGAAGGGCTTCGCATGCCACACAGAGTGACTGGTCAGCACGGTGAAGTACAATCGAAGCATATAGAAACAGGCTTGTGTTGGTTTCTTTCTTCATCATGTCCAACATAAGATAGTCACCAAGATCTTCAAGATCACATCGCATTTGCCCTGTCATCCAGGCAACGCCAATTATCTCTTTCTGATCGTTTAACATTAATTCATAGTCAAAGAACGGATCCATTGCTTTCATACGTTTGAACCATGCATCTATTTCCGATTCTTGTGTTTCTGGATCAAGCCTTTGAAAGCGTTCATTGTAGAATTTACTAAGTTCTTCCTTTGCTCTTTTATTCACTATATCAGTGAATTCAGCATCTCCAAGGTCGTCTTTGAACATCTTTTGGATTTCGGGGGACATGAACGAAGCTTCAAATGCTTTCTGTGATTCGTATTGCTCAGGTTTCAACGTCATGGATAATCGAACCATTTTCTTTCTCCAGTTAGAACATCGATCATTATCCCATACAACACATGATGGAGTAGAGACATTACCTAAGGTTTGGATGTCTCGGTTGCTTAGTCCTCCTCTATTGCGTAGAATTAAGAGAGAGTTTCGTACCATTAAAGAATCTTCTCCAAGTGCTCTTGAAACGTGACCACCCTTCTTCAATGTATCCTGATATGTAGTTTTGTCACCAGGATGATTGTGTGGCTGTTTAGGTAGTTCTTTCACAACAATGAACATACTGTTCTTCGTTTCTTCATCAGGTGGTGTAGTGAACCATTTTTGTCGCTGTCCACCTTCCTTCTTAGAAGGAAATGTCCATAGGTTACTTGTGATGATGCGCCATGTGCATCCACATTTCATAGTATTCTTTTCCTTTGCAGAGATCTTTTCGCCTTTCTTTGATCTTGGATTCCCATACTTGCTACATTGAAAACTTGTGTTACTATCACATGTCCAAGAAAAATTAAAGTCAGAAGCCGTACAGAAATGTGTTAATTTCCGCTCAAATTCCTTTCGCTGCCAAACAGAGCCAATGGGGAAACACAACGCAGCCTTCTCCTCCAAGTTCTTGTCATCGAGATTCATTGCTTCATTAACATCCATGCCTAGTGGAAGGTTATGTTCGAAGGGTGCTGTCTTGAATAAAACATCATATTCATCAGGAACAGCAGCCAAAATGTTAGTTGGTACATTCTGCTTGAAGTTTCCAGTGAAGCGAATATCATGTTGACGGCCCATTTTGCATTAAATGATAACATGTGTTGTTCGATATCATATTGCAATGAATATTGATAGCAAAACTGTTTCCACGGTAAGCCCAAGGCATTTCACGGTGCATATATTTTTCATGTGTTTTGTGAATGGTAATAACATCGCATGTCACAGGACTAGCTATAACCTCACTGGATCAATTGTAGAAGTCAAGTCTCATTGTTGTACGGTGTTGGAGAAGCAGTGAAATGAATACATAATGAAAGTAGTAGAAGAGCAATTGTATGGCATGCTTTATTCAGTGCAATGTGTTGTGTACATTATTCATAATACTCGTACATTGAATGAGTTTCTGGGTTGTGTGGTTGAGAAGAAGCGACAGGCTCACAAATATGAGAGTTTGAATGACACTTGTCATACGACAAAAGGTATACGGGATAGACCTGGGAATGACGTCACTAACGGCTATCTAACGACTGCCTGTCCACTGCCTGTACTACTACTGACTGTACTAACACTAACTCCCATACAATCATGAGAACACCGATACCCGTCTGCTCATCGAAGTTAAGCATGATCTGGTCGAGGTAGTACTACGGTGGGGGACCACGTTGGAATTCTCGATGTTGTTCTTGAAATTTCCTTTTGTTTTTCACAGATGCTGTGTAGCAATATTTTTTAATGCTGTACATATATTTAATATTTTAATCTATTGATTTGATACGAGATTGGCTTCAAAATGATAGAAAACAGGCATCATATTGATCTCTTACAAAAAATCGCGTTTTTTAGTTTTTAGTCCCATTTTCACCAAGATTTAGAAGAAACATTTCTACTACATCATTCCTAAATGAATCATTCCAAAATCTTATTGAAGTTGGCTCTTGCAGTGTTCAATATCTGGATTGCATTTTACCATGATGGATTCAGATTGCTCCAAACAGTAAGCAAGTGAGTATACATAACAACGTCATAGTGTAATATAAAACGGCTATTTCGACTTTGTGGCTATCGCCTTTGGAACCACTCTTTTTTTGTGATGTTTGGATGGAGGCAAATGAGAAGTTGATTGGATTGATTACCATACTTCAAATACTCATTTTCAATTTACTCTATATATCAAATCAGCAATACATCAACATGGTGGCTTGCTCAATTCCAGACAGCACCATTGATCAGGTGACCAAGACGCTGCTTGAAAATTCAGGAGTGGCGACCATTCCTCTTCCTTTCAATCTTGAAAAAGTTCACAAGGAAGCTTTTCTCGTAGCATCCAGTGCACTGGATGATCTTTCAAAAGAAACACCGTCACATTCTGACTGTCCAATTATACAAGTCGGTTCAAACTCTGCTGAAGTGACTGGTTATCATTCCAATGGTGGAGCAGATACAAATGCATTAAGTCGATACAATGTTCACCGCCAAGGATTCATTTTCTCAAATGGTGGATCCTTTGACATTCCTATAAATGAAAATGTTGAAAATGATGGACAAAGTTTATCCTTTCAGAAATCTATGGATACAATGTTTGACTCTCTTTGTAATGATATTGCATCTGGTGTGTTGAAAGGGATCGCGAGACATTTGAATATCGATCAAGATTGGTTTCAGCAGACGTATGGTCCAATGGATCAATCTAGTCAATGGCATCTGAAACGTTACATCGAACCTAGTACACAAGATATTGAAAAATATAAAGAAGAAAATAGTCAAGGTAGTGGGTCAGACGAAATTGAATGGTTGCCAGTACATACGGATCCTTCTCTCATTTCCATCATTATTCATGATGCACCTGGTAGTAATGAAAATGCGATGGGATTGGAATATCAAGTACCAGTTCCACCATCTGATGAAAATGGTAATTCCAAAAAAGATAGAGTGTGGAAAGAAGTTGATTGTCATGGGCATGCAGTTGCTACAGTATTTTGTGGTTCTGTTATGAGCTATATAACTGGTGGTTTGTTTCAATCGGCAAAGCATCGCGTCATGTATAGGCCAAACGGTTCATCTGATAAAAGCTATCGTCAAGCTGCAACGTTATTTCTGAGACCGCGAGGAGAATCTATTCTCACAATTCCACCAAGTGATGTTTTACTTGAAACAGGTCGAAGAGAACCAAAGATTCGTAGGAATTGTAAATTTCAAGATTGGTTGAACCGTGTATCGAGAAATTACCAAGGAGGAAATAAATCCAACAACAATAACAAAGACAAGAATAAAAAGACTCCAAAGAAACAGACCAAAACTATACCGAAAGACGCTGATCCTATGCATTGGTCTGATGACTATACAGAACTCACTTTACATGGATGTGCTGGAAATGAACTGAGCGGGAAAGAAAAGTTTCTAGGTGGTGAATTGTGTGAATTAAATGAGCATATTTACACTATACCAGGATTCGCTAGAAGAATCTTGGATATGGATGTTAGTACAGACCCACCTACTATGAAACTGATGGGGCCTGATTTGCCTGGTGAATTCAAATGGCTTCGAGGTATCCCTATTGGTGATACCATATATGGAATCCCTTGTCATAGTGATGCAGTTTTGAAGATTAATGCATTGACTAATGACGTGTCATTGGTAAAATGGGATGATAGTATTCCGGGTTCTTGTCCAAGTGATCAACCCTGGAAATATCATGGCGCAGCTGTATCAGATCATGACGGATGTATATACTGCATTCCTCAAGCTGCAGAGCGTGTGATGAAAATTGACCCTAAAACGGATGAGATTACTTTCATAGGACCAAATTTTCCTGGCGTGAACAAGTGGTATGGTGGTTTACTTCTAAAGGATCATGATTCAGATGACCACGCCATTTATGGAGTTTGTCAAAACGCTACTGGCATTCTCCGCATTGATCCAAAGACTCAAGAGTGTACAATTCATGGTGACTTCCCAGAAGGGAACTATAAGTGGCATGGCGGTGTGAAGCATCCAGATGGTAATCTTTATTGCATCCCTGCACATGCTGATCAGGTGCTAAAGGTCGAACCAGGTAAGGTACCAAAACTTAGTCTGCTGGGGGAAAACATTAGAACGGGGGAACATAGAAGTGATGGAAAATATAAATTCCTTGGCGGTGCAGTGGGTGCTGATTACGTATATTTTTTCCCAAGTGATGCAGATTATGTTTGTCAAGTGAACACACTCACAGGAGAAGTGAAAGAAGTTGGGCCTAATTTGAGAGATCATGAACGCATGAGAAATAATAAGTGGCAGAATGGTTTTACAGCTGTTGATAGAGATGGCAACATCCACATTTATGGCATCCCATTAAAAGGAGAGACTGTACTAAGGATATTACCAGACAAAAATGGCGGTGAGCCACATGTTTCGACTATTGGTGGCCCTTACCTTGGCTTGAATAAATGGGAAGGGGGAGTCAGTGCATCAAATGGCGATATGTATTGTATGCCATTAAATCACAAATTCTCGCTCAGGATCAGACCATTGACGAAGAAGAAGATTAAAGAAGAAGAGAAGGTATGAGACAAGTATAAAATGAAAGGAATGTAAACTAACACGAATGTCATAACTCTAACTATCTTTTCAATTATTTAGAGTGACCCCGTCAAGTATACTCATGGTTTGGCTACCCTACGATCTTCTGCGCACACTCTACGTTACTCTCGAAACAGAATCAATGACACTGGGCCAGATACTGGAGGAAATGTGTTACCAGATACGATAAGGAACAAGCACTTAATCAGGTACGATATTGAACAATATGACTTACGCAAAGAAATCATCCGTATGTTACAACAACTTGATCCCGAAATGGTCGGGACATTTCGCCAAGACACTGAATCGCAAGAATTGAAGCTTGAGAATTTCGTAGTGCCTCAAATGAGTCTTCTTCCCGCTAAGAAGTCAAGGGCAAAAAACGGAAAAGGAGAAAAGGCACAAAAATCGCTTTCAGATTATGTCACAAATGACGTTGAGTTTCATAATGCATTTGATAGGTTCGTTGAGAAAGTCATCTTGCCTGAATTAAAAGATCGACTATTGGCCTGTGGTGCAATTCAAGAGAATGCACCAGTGCATTTCGAGATTCAGAGACCGCCTACGCTTCGTATCCAGCCTGGTCCAAGCACAAGAGCTGTTGCAGCCCATAATGACGCCACCTATGGTCATCAAGACGGTGAATTGAATTTTTGGATGCCTTTGTCAGACCCAAAGCTGACAAATACAGACTTGTGGTGTGAATCGAAACCAGGATTGGAGGATTACGCCCCCCTTGGAGCAAAACTTGGCGAGGTAGTTGCGTTCCATGGGTCATCATGCAAACACTATGCCCCTCCTAATGAATCAATATATACTCGTGTGTCATTGGATTTTAGAGTTGGTGTTGTTCCATATTATGATCCAGAATGGAGAATGCTGGGAACAAAGTCCGACCATTTGAGAAAGAAAGTGTTACTATAGTCTGATCATTGTTACAAGAATAGAAAACATTTAAAAATGAAGAAAAAGGTAAAACTTTTATTACAGAGATGAATAGCCGCAATAAAAACAGTGGAAAATGTCTTATTCCAGCAGTTATTTATATATAAATATGTAGAGAGAGTTTTTGGTTGCTCTCTTTTAGACTATTTTCTTATTTGATCGAATTTTACTTTTGCTTCATTGAAAAAATGAGCAGGACTGAGTTTTACTGGTGGAATTATTTTTTTTATTTGAAAGGCTCGATGTACGTATTACGTTCTTAGTGGGTATGTCTCATTATTAAGTACCAGGTTAGTACCACATCATACAAAAAAGCAAGTCAATTCGTACCTTTTACTACCATCTACTACCATTTAAGTTCTCTTGTTTCTCGACGAACCACACCTCATATTTTTTGTTTTCAACACAGGGTTCTTTCAACACAGAACCGAACCCTCCCTTCTTTACTCAATCTAATCAGTTTCACCATTCTCGGCAATGTTGTCCTCGCAGCGATTAGATCAGTTGCGCTTCGAGGAACCTGACAGGTTCAGTTCTGTGCTTGAAGGAAATCTAGGTAGAAACCTTCAATACTACGATTTCATTTCACAAGAACAAGGAGAAAATTCCGAAGAACTCCACGAACAATTGTATATCTGCCATATACCTCAATTTCTAAGATGGACAGTAGAGTCAGATGGAACATTCCTTGATTACAGTGATATCGGCTTTGGGGTTAATGCTGCTACGATTATGGCTATAGATCATTTCAATACTGGGAATGGAGTTATTGTCAAAGATGTGAAAGACATTCATAAAAAGTGCAAGATACGTTTCACCACTGAAGTAGTTGATACCCAAGCATCTGCAATTACTGCGGTCAAAGGATTGACTGATATGATGATTCTTCGTGATAACTCTTCTACAAAGCCTCAGCCTTGTGCAGTTCTAGGTACTCTATATTCTTCTGTGGCGAAAAAGTTTGCTACACTGACAGGAGTTTATGATCTTCTTCAAGTTGCTCCAGGAGCATCTAGTGATGCATTAGATAATAAGTCCTCATAGCCGTTGTTTTCAAGAACTCATACTTCTGATGGGGGTGCTGCGAAGCTGCTACCTTCATTTCTGAAACATGATATGAATGTCAAGAATTTCGCAGTTGTCTATTTGCAAGATGATGGATACGGAGATTCTTATTGGAGCG